AACGTTGTAAAGCAACAAACTTATCAACCTGATACCGACTGGTATGAAGTTACAGATATTTTCCTCTTCTGAGCTAAATTCTTATATGTGTATATTGGCCAAAAGTCCTTCATGAACCCCATACACTAAAGCAGAAATTCTATTTAAAAACTGTTATATCTGAAATCCCTCATCCTTCATGTGGCGTGTGTCTATAAAATGATGCGAGGCTCTGTCACATGAACTGACCATCATCAGGCCTGACATACCGAGCCTATTGTCCGAGCGTCTCTTCAGGAGGTGACATAATGTTCTGTGCCAGGGGGAGAAGCGGACTGGGTTGTTACAGCTGATGAGTTCGACCGACTGAGCTGCTGCAGAAAAAGGCAAACTGCTTCAAAATGGTAATTGTATTTATTGTTTTCTTAAGCAAATTTGGCAGCCATTCATAGAAATTTGTTCAGCGATTAGAGCTTTTATCTAATCTAGACAACCTGTGTGTGTTTGCAGAGTTTCAACACAGTGACGATGGTGACAGCTCTCCTTGCTTTCCCTTTGACTCCTTCCTTAGCCACACAAGGTAAACGTTTTGAAATTGTTATTGCTAGAGTGGTTCCATAAGCAAGAGGCATCAACTTAACGACTAATAAATCCTACAAAAAAAGATTCTACTGGTGAAACAATCAATCGTAGTCTATCAAAGTTTATTTTTTATAGCACTTTCCAACAATGCATATGGTGCACAAATCCCTTTACAAGTTAATATAAAAGCAAGTTTTCATGACCAAAATCGATAAAATATGGAAATGTTAGGCATAAATAAGCTAAAAGAGATAAAGACTAAAAAAATGCACAATAGTACAATCAACAACACCTTTAAAAGCTATATAGAAAAATAAAACCACAATATAAACTAAAAAAAAGCAGGAGTGAAAGGACAGTCTGAGCAGATGGGTTTTTAACTCTGATTTAAAGACTCCTCTATCAGTAATGGATTGTAGCTCTAGTAATAAACTGTTTCACAACTTGGGAACAAAGATAGCAAAATAATGATTTTGCAGCTAGTCCTGGGGAAATGTAGGGTTATGAGCTCTTATGACAAGGTGGTGAACAGTTAAAAGTTCAGACAAGTATCCTGGAACAATATGATTTTAAACCTTACATGAAGACAGCAGGACTTTAAAGTCTATGCAAAAGAAAACTGGAAGCCAGAGGAAAGAGAAAATAGTTAGAAGTGAGTTTGGGAGTATTTGAGGGAAACCAAGCAGCTGCATTTTGGACCACTTTGAACCTTATCAGGAATAGAGTGGCTAATTCCTGCAAACAGAGCATCCTTGAACTAATGAATGCATGCATTCTCGTTTTCAGGTCAACCAGGGAAAAAAATGTTTAGACTTTTAAGCTGAAAAAAGCCAACTCTGACTACTGAGTTTACCTGTTTTTCAATCTTCACACCCTTGGTTCTTACAGCTGAAGTAAAATATGGGGAACTGGAACACGAGCTTGGAGGTTGACAAGACTGCTTTGAATTAAACTGAATCTACTCAGTTTTTCCTTCATTTATGTGAAAATATTGAGACAAACTTGATGTCAAACAAACAGTTTTGCAGAAAAAAAAAGAACTATTTTTATTATTCTCTTTCATTGGTATGTAGATTTGTACATCATCAGCATATAAATGAACAGGAACCTTTTGTTTAAAGATGATAAATTTATTGCTTAGATATGAGGCAAACACCCAGAACTCTGGCCTAGACGTGCCAGATGCGTTCCAGAAGTGAAACAGGAATTACCTGGACTACACTATCAAAGGTAGCTTTAAAGTCAAACATCACAAGCACAACTGAATTATTTGTACCAACGCTGTTCAGGGTATCATTATGGACCTTAGGAAATGCACACTGTGTGCTGTGACGGGATCTGAAGCCTGAATTAAACTTTTCAACAGTTTCATGCAGCAAGACGTAATCTTGTAGCTGTGACAGGACACATTTTTCCATAACCTTAGACAAAAAAGGTAGAATTTGAGGAAAATTTAAACAAATGTATGGTTCAAGATTGCATGTTCAGAAGTGGCTTAACCATAGCATGCTTAAAGGCAGGAGGGACAGTGCCCATCCTGCAGCAACAGGAGGGGCTGCTTCTCTCCCACATCAACATATTTTTCGGATGCCCCCTGGATCCCTCCCTCAGGAGGTGTTCCAGGCATGTCCCACCAGCAGGAGGCCCAGGGGACGACCCAGGACAGGATGGAGGGACTACGTCTCTCGGCTGGCTTGGGAGCATCTCATCAAGATTCCCAAAGCAGAGGTGGAGGAGATGTGTGTGTGGAGAGGATAGTATCGGAGTCTCTGCTAAGACAGTTGCCCCACCTACCCACCCTGGATGAAGCGGAATATGGGGGGTAAACGTTAGATAGATATTTGGACTTTGCTTCCTTTACAGCTTATTGGTAAGAAGCAACACATTCTCTCCATGCATCCATTTTCTCCTGGTTATTCCTTGTCAGGGTCGCGGTGGGGCCGGTGGCTATCTCCCTCAGTCTAAGGGTGAGAGGCATGTACAACCTGGACAGGTAGCCAGTCTGTCGCAGAGTAACAGAGACACACACAAAGACCATGCAGAAACACACTCTTACACAGAAGGACAATTTTAGAGAAGTCAATTAACCCAACAATCGTGTTTTTAGATTGTGGAAGGAAGCCGGTGTACCTGGAGAGAACATGTGTGGACACAGGGAGAACATGGAAACTCCATGCAGAAAGACCCTGGGCCAGGAATCAAACCCAGAACTTTCTTGCCCAAGACATTCTCTCCATATGTTCACATGTAATATGTCTTCAATCTACTCTTAGCTTGTCTGCACTGTAGCTTCAAAGCACGATAGGAGTGATTGAGCCATGGCTAAACAAGCACATCTTGCAGTTTTGTGCATGAAAGGGGCAACAGGCTAAAATCTGAGAAATTATGGATCGAAAAGATGAAAGAAAATTTTAGAGGTCCATGACAGCGACCAAACAAGGTTTGGAGGAAATTGCAGAAGCTGAAAATGCTGCAGCAAATTCATTGGTCGTTGTGGAGGTAATGATATGACAGCAATGAGAGGTAGAATGTTTAGGTGTTGGTGAAGAAATTATAAGTTTAAATCGGAGGAGAAAATAATCAAATATGGTAAAATATATATTGGTCTATCAGATACATAAACTGCCTCATCATTAGCTCCCACAGTGAGCCAATGAAAGACAACTAGCTCCAGAATGAGTCCAAGCTCATAAATAGGGCACGGACTGAGATCCAGAGAATCCAAAAGGCAATAAAAATAATCGCCATCTTTTTGGAGGTTCAGTCGACATGGTGGTTAAAGTCACCACAATTCAATAGATTATTTGATTTAAATATACACTCTGCCAGAAACTCATACATTTCAGGCGTTAATGATGGGATTTCTCCAAACTGTTTTAATCCACTGAATGTATGTGACGTAGAAAAGATGATTCTTACATTCTGGCATCACTCGCCATCCGTATAATCAACTTTTACCTCTTGCTTTGCCTCAAAACCACGTCAAGTATTTTCCTTATGATTTTGTCTGGAAAACATTCAGTAACAACAAAGCAGTTTGGTTTACTTTTATGTAATGTCACATAAAATATTGGATAAAATAAAACACTTCTCCCAGCATCTAAGTACAAACTGGACATAAAACACTATTTAAATTGTTGGTGGCGGTTATTAAGTTTCTAGTTGTGTTTACCAGTTGGTATATCTATTGCTTATTAATAAAGGCATTCCAAAGCTACTGGGAAAAAGCCCCCTATTAACTTAAAAGTATGCCGGATATCATAATGGTGGAATAAATACACAAAAACCTTGCCATGATCTGCATTTAAATGTATTTGTTTTAACCAATTTTCTGTTTTACACTCACTAAACCTCATTCCTGCTAAGTAAAACATAGGTGGGAGAGTCCTCCAACCTTCTGGAGGACAGCATTGCAGCCAGTTTTGCATTGGTTTGGTGTGTATTGCTGTAAGGCTCCCACATATTCTAGTGTAGGGGAGTCTGTGGACGTCCATGTGGCTTTGATTATCACACTTGTTTTAAATCAAAGATCCACCGGATACGCCTGATCACAAATCAGTTTTTATGGCTCACCATAAACAGCTTGGCAAGACAAATTCTTAACCTGAAATGGTGCCTCACGTAGAAGAAACAATGTTAGCAGGGTCCATGACACTCATAGTATGTCTGAATATGAGGGAAACTTTAGCATCTCTATTTTGCTTTTGGTCCGATTACATGTGAATGACAAAAATACTTTTCTTGTACCGTTACAATTCTGATATTTGTTGAACAAAATGCTCTCAGTAATGTTATTGGTTTAAATCCACCTTGCAAGATATCTAAATTTAAAGCCTACTTCCCAGGAAAGCATTTCGTTTACTAAACCATCAGAGAACTTGATTGAATTATGTTATTTTGTAAATTCACACACTTAAAGATGTTTTGGTGTCTTTACCTCCAGTGGGCCTGAGTGAGAAAGTCCTGGTCTTCCCCTATGAGACGGACTTCAGCTTCGTGGCCCTGATTCCCCAGAAGGAGATGAGTCTCAGAGCCTTCACGCTCTGTATGCGTGTTGCCACAGAACTGCCGGAGGAGCGGCAGATCATCCTGTTTGCCTATCGCACAGTCGACTACGATGAACTCAACGTGTGGCGTGAAAAAGATGGCCGTGTCTCTTTCTACCTGAGCGGCGACGGCGTCTTCTTTCACCTGCCACCGCTCGGCACCTTCCGCACCAGCCTCTGCCTCACCTGGGAGTCTCGCACAGGTCTTGCTGCATTCTGGTTGGAAGGGAAGCGCAGCACATACCAGGTGTACAAACCAGGTCACAGCATTCGTCCGAAGGGTACCGTCCTGCTGGGCCAGGACCCGGACAGACACCTGGGAGGACTGGAGGCCATCCAAAGCTTTGTTGGGGAGATGACTGACGTGAACATGTGGGACTCTGTTCTTTCTAGAAGCATGATCCAGGCCTGGCACTACGGGCATAAAGTTCCCAAGGGAAACATTTTCGACTGGGCCACCATTGAGTATGAGCTGAGCGGGAACGTGTTGGTGGTGGATGATGACTGACTCGATGAGGTGGTTCCATCAGACAGAGGGCAAACTGTAGAAGTGAGTTCTGGACTGGTAGCTCTTGTCTTTCTTAGCCTTACAGCTTGCCAGACTCTGTTTTTGTGATGCTTCTTTTCTTGTGTTTGTCTTCCATCATCTTGACTCAATGCCCTCATACTTTGCTACAGCACAATACCCCAATACAAGATCCACAAATACTACTACCAGAGACCCACTAATACATTCTCAAAATGGATTTGGTAATTTTGAGAACAAACAACACAATATAAAAGATTTGTAAACTTTAATCGAACTTTCTGCTCATTGATTCCCAATTAAAGTTCTTAAAGGAGAATTCCGGTTTTTAACACTTTTAGCCCATTTTCTGTAGTGTCCAGGATGAAATCGAATGATCGACACCAAAATTTTGACAATTGGTCCTGTCTCTGCTTTTTGGCTCATGCAGAATCCCCCCCTGGCTGCTTCAGAATGGCTTCCATTGTGCATGTCCGATAATGTCCTTAAAACAACCTTAAACGTTCTTTTTTTAAAATATGCTACTCACCGGGTCGTCAGCGCTGTTCAATGACGTTCCAAAAAAAGTTTCGTGAAGAAAAACCGTTCCTGTCTTGTTTTATTTAGCATTTTGTAAATCCCAGAACTATTTTTTCCGATACATCACAACCGCTTATAAACTTCCGCCTCCCGTTCGAATCTGAAGCGTTGCACACTCCAGACCACTAGTTGGCGACAATGTCTCTATATACTCCTCCTTAGTATATTCCGGTTCAAAATGGTATCCTCTACCGTCAAACTCAAAGTCCAATATGTCCTCCTCAAGAATCCACCTTTTGTATTCCATTTTCAGAGTTTTTTAAAGTGTTTAACAGAGACGTTAGCACCTACACACGTCTGAGTACACAGAGTGAAGCGAAAAGACTACAACTAAGTGTAAACAGGCCCCATTTCCGGTGGCGGAGGGATATTGACTATTCCAACAGAAATCAATGGGATTTACAAAATGCTAAATAAAACACTACAGGAACGTTTTTTCTTCACGAAACTTTTTTTGGAACGTCATTGAACAGCGCTGACGACCCGGTGAGTAGCATATTTAAAAAAAAGAACGTTTAAGGTTGTTTTAAGGACATTATCGGACATGCACAATGGAAGCCATTCTGAAGCAGCCAGGGGGGGATTCTGCATGAGCCAAAAAGCAGAGACAGGACCAATTGTCAAAATTTTGGTGTCGATCATTCGATTTCATCCTGGACACTACAGAAAATGGGCTAAAAGTGTTAAAAACCGGAATTCTCCTTTAAGTGGGTAAATATAATGACTATTTTAATAGAATAAGTTATAAAACATATCAAACTCCAAAAATAATGCAATTTTTTATGATTTTTTTCTTAGATTCAAAAGATATTTGGTTAAATGATGGTAAAAAACTTGTGAAAATTTCTTGTTAGCAAAGCACATGTGCAACTTTCAGCACCTTTGAAATTTTGCCCTCAGAAATCCTCTATGCAAACTAGATAATTAGCAGATGTTTGACCACATGAACCTTCTGAGCATGCTCTGAAAATTCATGTTTATTAAAACCAGAGGCTGTTTTCAAGCAGCTGTTTTGCCAAGTTTAGATTAGACAGATTTTTTTTCTCTCTCCCAAGATTTTTTATTTGATTTTTAAAATTAAAACTCTATTATTTCCAAAACATGGATCTGATCTCATACACATATTTATATAACATACATAAATCCATTATTTATCACAAGAGGTAAAGCTGTGCATCAATTGGAGCGCCCTGAGGATGATGCGAAGAATGATCGGTGCATGTTCATGGAGACTACACAAAATAGATAAAGGTCTTTAAATGAGGATGTGGCTTTCAGAGGGTGCAGAAATGTGTCAAAGCTCTGTTGAGAAAATAATTTACTTAAGAGACACAACTTTTGTCTTAAAAAGGTTTTTTTCTGCATCAGCAGCACCATTTTCTAGAAGTTGAAATCTGTATTGCTTGTAAACTGTGGTCTGAGGGATCAAAATGATGGCCCCCAGGAAACAAATTAACTTCACAGCGATAAAACTGCTCCATTTTTTTCAGGAAAACATTTTGTTCTTTTCTTTGAAGCTCCATGTTTTGTTTTGTTTTTCTTCCCTCCTACCTCTGATAAAGCGCTCCTCTTCACAGTCACTCAGATCAGCTGAGCAGCTGTTGGAGACGCCTCTAAAGCCTTTGTCTTTTGACCTGGAATAAGTTTCAAATTTCATTACATTTTTTTCTTATCTCTGTAGCATTTTTAGTTGCTTTTACTTGGATATTATTTCTACGTTTAATAAGGTCAATATAATAATACCTTTTTTTCAAATTGCCTTATAAGAAAATTGACTTGGCTTGGAAAAAGATAAGATAATTACCCTAAAAGTGGCATAATTTTTTACTTTTTAAAGTACATTTTGTCTAATCACTGAATGGATCTGTATGTGCTACTGAGGCTGGCATGCCGGATGCATCCATAGGAGGGCAGTCTGGGCTTGGTTCCATAAAATAACTACATGCATTCATTAACAGAAACTGGCAGCGATAACTTCAAAACATGCATACTGTAAAATAAACTGTAATGAATTTGTTCATTATGTATGTAAATACACATATAATATAGAACAACAACAATTAATTACAAAAAAATTCCATTCAAAATAAAAAAAAATCAGTTTTATTCTAAAAATACTTAATAATAACACATAATCCAGCTGAAATTATAGATTTGTTTTGCTTAAAGATCCTGAAAAACACTCCATATAAAAAGTATAAATATAATTATGATTAAAGCTTTAATCTGCTGTGAAGCATTGATGGTTTTAACTTCACCGTGAGCCAAAAGAGCAATTTTCTTGTTTTAAACCCTCTTGCTGTAATGTTGCCTTTGGTTATCACACTCACTCATGAATTTTCTATGTTTTAGCTGATGTAAGAGTGCTGTTGGGCCTGAAATAAAACATCCCCATGTGCATAACTAGAACTGGCTGTCATTAAATTATTTTGTCTTTGAACTCTAAAAGTTTTTTTTTTTTACATTTTTTTAAATAATCATCCCATTTTCAATACGTTTTAGAGAAAGTTTGACTCCTTTGTAATAACTGGTTACTTTTTTGCCAGCAAATGATTAAATACTCAGTTTCACCAGGTTCCTCTTCAATGAATTAGGATACAGCAGACTATGTCTGATCATTAATTGAACAACAATATTATTAAAAGAAGTAGTATTTTTTTGTACCAGAGCATGATCCATAATTCAGATCTATAAGTTGAGATGAAGTGATCCGTTTACCAATTACCTTTGATGCAGAAGAGCAAAAAGTCAACTTCTCTGTTTTTATATCTCCTGAGTATTGGTTAACCAGACATGGCAAACAAACATGAGACACATGTGTTACATATTACTTGCAGAAATCCAGGCATATGGAGTTGCTTCAGTAACAGAGGCCCCTCAGAACAGGCTTAGGGTCAGATCTTCTCCATTCAAGTGTAACAGTAACCCTGTGTGTTAACTCTGTTCGTCTCCATGGCTCCGTGCACGCATCCTCCACCGCCTGCACCAACATGGTGACCTCCTTGCAGAGACAGGGAAGAAGTTTTTCCAGCGCACAGCCTGCACAGGCTTTCCTTCAGGGTGGGAAAGTGCTGCTGTTCAGAGTGTGTGTTTATTCCGACCAAAATCACCCGTCGGCTCTCTCGCTGCAGCTAAATAAGGAGAAGGGAGGGCCAATGAGTTCTGACTGCGGGTCAGCAGCCAAATGTTCCACCTTCTTGGATGTTGCAATGCATCAATCGTGGTGCCCACTCACTGTGTGGTAACACCTTTGTGGACCATCTGCCCAACCCTGCCTTCTCAGCCCTCTGGTGCGCTCACAGTGACACACATAGACCTTCTCCATCTCTTTTTGCGTCTCTGCCCAAGAGCAGTGATAATCCCTCATACATTTATATATATATATATATATATATTCATGCAAAATTTTTGAATTAATTGCTGTTTTTATTTGGAATTAAAATTCAGATAATATGGAACTAAAACATCCATCCATCCATTTTCTGACACGCTTAATCCCAAGTGGGGTAACGTGGGCTGCTGGTGCCTATCTCCAGCTCTCTATACAGGCAAGAGGCAGGGTCCACCCTGGACAGCTCGCCAGTCCATCGCAGGAGAACACGGAGACAATCAACCATTCACACACACACTTACACCTAAGTAGAATTTAAAGAATCCAATTTTTGAACTGTGGTAGGAAGCCAGAGTACCCAGAGAGAACCCACACATGCTCAGGGAGAACATGCAAACTCCATGCAGAAAGACCCTGGGCATGGAATCGAACCCACAACCCTTTGGTGCAATGCTACCCACTGCGCCACTGACTTACACATTAAATTCCATACATTGAATTTTTATCTTGTGAAAATTTAGCTGCAGAAAAAAAAAAAAAGATTCAGCTGCAAAAATTTCAGCTGCAGAAAAATTCAACTTCAAATGTGTTGACCTTTTGGTGAACTCAAACCAGTCGAGCAGCTTCTAGCCAATGAAATTAGCTCATTTTGTCAGAAAAAAAAAGGAAGTTTGCCACCGGCCGCTTCTTCCTAATCCCGAAGAAGCGGCCGGTGGCAAATTTCCTTTTTTTTTTCTGACAAAATGAGACAGGGCAGACAGGGGTCCTGCACTGCCGGTGATTGGCTCAGTTATTTCACCCAATCTGATTAGATGAAAAACTCTAATTTCTGTCTATTAGTAGCTACCTGACTTTTTTTAATCATATATATTTAACAAGAAAAACTGCTTCATTCAGCCGGGAACAAAGTTATGCCCGACTGTTGTGACCAAATGAGCTAATTTCATCGGCTAGAAGCTGCTCTACTGCATCAAGTGCTGATTGCTTTGGCTTTAGTTCACCAAAAGGTCAACACATTTGCAGTTGAATTTTTTGCAGGCAAGTTTTTTTGCAGTTGAATTTTTTTAAAGCTGAATTTTTTACAGGTTAATTTTTTGCAGCTGTTTTTTTTTTTTTTTTTCCGCTGGCACAGTTTTACCAGATTTAAATTCAGTGTAAGGAATTCAAGGTGTAAAAAAAAAAATCAGTTTTTAAAGTTCAATGTTAAAAAAATTCTGCTTTTAAACTTCAGTGTACAAAAAAAGGTAGATTCTAATGAGAGAGTTTTTCTTCCATAAGATAAGAGTTATTGTTTTAAAGCTAAAATAAATTTAGAGTATATTGCAAAAATTCATACCAATTCAATTATTTTCACATTTTGCTGCAACAACACATAGAGATCTCAGATCAGGATTTTATGTAATAGACTGACACAAATTTGCACATTATTATTTAGTAGAACGAAATTGATTTTTTTCAAAACACTG